GTGGCCTTGGATCACGTTGTTTATTACATCGTGGAGGTGACGTTGCCGTGGTTCATGGACGTCACCACGGTGTCGGCCGTCATCAGTGTCCGATATAAGGTGAGACATCGACCAAAACAATTAGTCGACTGACATCACTGTAAAAAATGAATTACATTTTTAATACGATCAACAGTCAATGTTATTGAATTTATATAAACAAAATAGACCAGAAATAAAAAATATATAAATTAAAAATAAATACACAAAATATAATATGTAAACAAAATTAAATATAAATTCACTTTTAGTTTTTAAAATGTAAATGTAATTTATTTTTGATAAATTTAAATTAAATTAAAATAAAAATACATTGATAAAATAAAATGTAAATTTTACTCTTCAGTTTTTGATTAAATTAACCCTTTTATATAAACAAGGTAAAAAAAACACATTATCGTGGGAACGGCTTGAAGTGAAGACTTGGATCTAAAGAGAAAAATAATTAAAAATAATAATAAATACAGTGACATTTTCACCTTTGTCGTCTTGATACTACTACCATACTTACTAACTCCCCCCTTCCTCCCCCCCCCCTCCCTAAGGTCCAAGGTCCAGTGGTTTGCCCCAGCCTTCTGTCTGATACCCCGGTCCTGTGGGACTCAACAGCTGGTCGACTTCCAGCAGGACTACACCTGGACCTTCAGCCCGGAGACCCTGCTCTGTGACGTCAGGACCTCCGCCCCAAACCTGGGGGTCACCCTGTTACTGGGGGGTCTCTGGGTGACCAGCTGCTGCCTGGTGTTCCTGGAGGTTTACGCCCGGCGACTGCGACGGAATATTTCTGCTTCCTTCTTCAGAGAGCAGGCGCAGCGGAGGAAGGAATATTTGATGAGGAAGACGGAGAGGAAGAAGAAGAAGAAGATGGAGAACCAGGTTACCCGAGTTCACGTCGATGACGACACGAACGAGAAGTGAAGCAGGATGGGAACTGACTTTTCTTCCTTGTATTTAAATCACTCGTAAACAATGAGTGAAAGAAACACTCTGTTCTGAACATTCCCTGGAATTACGTCAAATCCATATTTAATGATTTTTTTTTTTACAGTTTGTCGGCTTCACAGTTTTGAAAAACTCGAAATCCTCTGTATATTTAATAAAAATACTCTAAACCTGTCAGAACTACTGTCTCCTCCAGAAACATTTTTAATAAATATTCTTCAAAGTTTTCATCTTTGGTGACATCAATCTAAAGACACAGGAAGTACCTTGGTACTGTGTACCACCAGGGGCGCCAAAATTAAAAACTGGGACAAAGTCACGGCCCAACTTCACGGGCCAAATATAATTACACAGCGGGCCAGATTTGGGCCCCGGACCTGAAGTTGACACATGCTGTGTACCAACAACGTAAATCCTCATCTCTCCAAATACAACTGTTCAGCCTAGACCAGTGTACAAAGTACATTGTAAGTACCACTAACGATACGCATGCCACAGTTTGAGAACCACCAGTCCATCACTTTGTCGTTCAACGACAACTTCAACACAGATGTTTTTGTACCTGTTGGTGTTTGACTTTTCTTTTTGTTTTTACTCCACAGTACCACTAGATGTCACTAAAGTACCATCAACAAACGCAGTAGAGAAACCCCACAGTCACAGTACTTGTACCTCATCCTTCAGTTCACAGTATTGTCCCAGTTTTTTTTTTTTTCACTATAAATACACATCTAACGATCCATCAGGCTATTTCAGTATCACGTTACAAAAATAAATCAAGAAACGCCGTCGACGCGCGAAAAACTCCAACGCCTGGGTTTCACAAAGGGTTTATACACGAGGACTTGACTTAGAATCATCAACAGAGGACGGGCTTTGAACTGTACTTCACAGAAACAGGACTGTCTCAAAACTCATACACATACATACAATATATAAGTACATATATACACATATATAAACATACATACATACATATATGTACATATAATCATATACATACGTATAAACACGTTTGAAATGTTTTCTTACATTACATATATGTGCATATAATCATATACATATATACACATATATGTATATATGTTTATGTCACATGACCAAACCTCATCTCGTTGGTGGTCACTGTAGACGTGTTTTATGTAGTTCAGCATATTTTTACTTTCTTGAACCGTACTTTAAGGAGGAACCGTCAGATTGAAGTCAAGGAACTCTTTTTCAGGTACATCCTGGTCAAGACAACAAAGGACAAAAGACACGACGGTTAAAAACAGCTCAGAGTTCAACTGGTCTGGATAAAAGGCTGAGAGAGAGAGAGACGAGGGATAAAAAACGAAAGGTCACCGTCTGCCCCTCGAGGTCAGGTTTTAGAACGACTCAAACGGTCCAGACTCTGGAGTGTGAAGAAGTTCTGTCAACAGTTCCAGTCAGAGAGGCTCGGTACCGAGCTGGACTTTTTCCCCCCAGTCTCTGATCAAACACCGGGGCCGTGAGTGTGAGGACGTCCTGAGACGTGGACGGTCGGTCCCTGCAGTAATCAGCAGAATTAGGGGCGTTAAATTCACAACAGTCTAATTAAAACGAATCGCTTTAATTAACACAAAAAACCTGAAGGAGAATTAGTTTTATCCATTCATTAGCCTCCGTCTGATTGGCTGCACCAACTCACACAGACACTGAACCTCACATTAAAAAGATGTGAGTTCTTCTCTTCACTGTCAGGAACAGAACTGTTTCAAACTAAAGTCAGTAAAAAGAAAAACTTTTTTCCACTTTTATCAGAAACACCAGTCGGTGTCAAGTACAATTACAACATAATTAACTTCAAATACCACCTTAAAAACCATGTTTTTCCCCTTTGTTTTCATCCAAAGAAGTACAAAAATATCAGATATCTATAGTTATTTATTCTCATTTAAAGAAATAAAATTTTACAAAAAATATCCTCAACATAATGTTTTTTTGTATTTTTTTTTTTAATTCATCAAGCGGACCGGATTGAACGCCCTAGCGGGCTAGTTTTGGACCACAGGCCATATGTTTGACAACATTTTCTTTTGCTTTGGTTTTAAGGTGGATTCAACGTTCTTCTACTTCAGCTTTTTCTCTCCACGTATATTAGATATTTATTAATATTTATTTATATTTAATAAAAAATATAATTTTACTAAAAAAAAAAATCTGAATACGACATGTTTGTGTATACGTTTTATTTTCAAAAATTCATCAACGCCACACGTCTCCCTGACAAAGACAGGAGTGTTAACAGCGTTAGGTCCATAATTAGAGTCATTATGGTGACGTGAGGTGACGTGGGTGCGGTGGCCGATGTGGTGAACTGCAGGCTGCGTCCATAATTACAGACTTCACAGTCGCAGCAGTGACGACCAGGAGAGAGAATTGATTTTACACTTAGACGAGGCAGCGGTGTGTTCTACTGTAACAGTGTGTGATATGGGAGGGGGTGAGAGAGGGAGAGAGAGAGGGAGGGAGGGAGGCAGAGAGAGAGAGAGAGAGGGAGAGATGTGGATGAGTGGAGCAGTACTGGGGGAGAACTAATCAGTGGTTTTGTTGGTTGATTGAACGTGGCTGCTGTGATCATGTCAGACTGAACCAAACTGAAGGTAAAGTCAACGATTTCTTCAAACAACGATGAGATTTTTTTTTCTTTGTTTCTTTATCTTTTATTTCTACGTTAAATCGTTTAAAAAAAAACAACCTCAAAATGACTGCAGTAAATTCTCTCTGTTTTACCGTAAACTATATTTATGTCTGATGTAAATCAGTAATATATATATATATATATATAGTGTAAATGTATTTCAATCATTTTTCAGCAATGTTTATATTTCTAGGTGTAAAACTTGGACTTTGAATTTAGATATTGTCAATATTGTTAATAGTGTCATTAATTAAAATATTTACTTAATTTATGCAAATATATGTATAATGTACTTGCAGTACATATGGACATATACAGTATATATAAATATACCGTACTGTGGATATATATTTATATATGTATGTATGTGGAGCAACGTCAATGAATATATATTGCACATACAGCACATATACTGTATACATCTATGTACTATGAATACATAGAAATATGGGAAAATATATTTTATCCCCATACATTTGCACTTTTACTCTCTTTGAAAATACAAAAATATATTCTTTACTTACAGGGAAAGTTGTTCGTCTCTTCTAGGTGAATCATATATTTTCAGTCCAACACTGGAGAAGAAACAAGAAGAACATGAACCACTACATATATTTGCATGATTGCGTATAAGCAAATATATGTAGGAAACATATTTTCCCATATATGTGTCCCTATATTCATAGTACATGTATGTAAATGTAATGTATGTATGTGCATCATATATTAATCTGCGTTCACAGCATTTACACCATCGTACTCACGTCTGTCTCCAGGTGAAATACTTCCGTCTCTCCTCCGACATATATTTCTGTCCTAGCCTGCTGGCAGCATGGAGAACAACACCACCGTCTTCCACAACGCCACTCAGGAGTCGGACGGGACCAGAATGCCTCTGAAGCCTCTGGAGGAGCAGGTTGTGACGATTCTTCTGACGCTGCTCATTTGCGGCGTCGGGATCTCGGGGAACATCATGGTGGTCCTGGTGGTGCTGCGGACCAAGCACATGGTCACGCCCACCAACTGTTACCTGGTCAGCCTGGCGGTGGCCGACCTCATCGTGCTCTTGTCTGCGGGTTTGCCCAACATCTCCGACGTGGTGGCCTTCTGGATATACGGCTACACGGGGTGTCTGTGCATCACGTACCTCCAGTATCTGGGCATCAACGTGTCGTCCTGCTCCATCATGGCCTTCACCGTGGAGCGCTACATCGCCATCTGCCACTCCATCAAGGCGCAGTTCATCTGCACCGTGTCGCGGGCCAAAAGGATCATCGCGGGAGTCTGGGTCTTCACCTCGCTCTACTGCATCATGTGGTTCTTCTTGGTGGACACGGACGAGACCACCTACGCCAACGGGGTGGTGGTCACGTGTGGGTACCGCGTCTCCAGGACCCTCTACATGCCCATCTACTTCCTGGACTTCACGCTGTTCTACGTCGCCCCCCTCTGTGTGGCGCTGGTCCTTTACGGGCTCATTGCGAGGATTCTGTTCATGAGCCCGCTGCCGTCCCACCTCAACGACAGGGCCGGGGGTGGGTCGGTTCACCAGGGTCAGGCGGGCAACGCCAACAAGAGCAGCATGGGGGCAGTCTTCGCAAGGAAGCAGGTACAGACACGGTGACGGATAAAAGTAGAAGAGATGAAGATTTAAGGGCAGAAAATGTGTAAAATTGGAGACAAACAGATGTAAAAATTATATATATTTATATTAATTTATTAATTAATATTATTAATTGTTTTACTTTAATATATTGTTTATATATGATTTTATTTTATACTTTTTGTGGTCGTAGTTTCTACTGGTTTTAGATTAAAGAGGAGGTTTTTTTTGTTTGTTTTTTTCTGTTTTTTGAGCTGCATTTTTGTTTCGATTCCTTTTCCTTTTTTTTAAATAAACGGCAGCTCTCTCCGTCCTCAGATCACAAAGATGCTGGCGGTGGTGGTCGCCCTCTTCGCCCTGCTCTGGATGCCGTACCGAACCCTGGTGGTGGTCAACTCCTTCATCGACCCGCCCTACCACGGCCCCTGGTTCCTGCTCTTCTGTCGCATGTGCATCTACACCAACAGTGCCATCAACCCCATCGTCTACAACCTCATGTCCCAGAAGTTTCAGGTCGCCTTCAAAAAGCTCTGCCGCTGCAGCTGGAGACGCCAGAAAGAAGACAACCGAGTTCAACACGCCCGTGTGCTACAGCGTCGTCAAGGACTCCTCGCACGAGAGCAACGAGCCGGTCACGGAGCACGAGGACGTCGGCGGCCAAACCATCAAGAGGTTCAACATAAGGCACAAACACCTCACTGGTTCGCACGCGTCTCCTGATGAAATGTAATTATTGACGTTGTTTTTTTGTTTTTTTTAGTGTGCAACTGCTCCCCCTTGTGGCTGAAGTACTTTGTGTTTTGCAGTGTGTATTTGGGTTGTGACAGTTTTGGTCAATGTGTTAAGACTTTGTAAATTTGTTGTGCGAAAAAAATAAACGTATTAGCATCCAATTTTCATCCTGGAGGATGACCTTTGACACCAGGTCACGACCCTGTCTGGTCTAAGGACTGAAATCCACTTTCTTTCCGATGTTTAGTCATGTAGAATGTTGTGTTCTCCAGACATGAAGTGTAGTATGTTAGCAGTGTTTCTAAACCGCTGGGTCGCGGTACATTAGTGTACCGTGGAAACTTATCCAATTTTAATTCATTGGTCTGAAAAATATTATTTATTTTCTAATAATTTGTCAATGTGTCAGTGACTGACAGAATAGTCAATACTCATCCATTAGGTGGCAGCAAATGGTGATTAAAAACTCAAAAACAGACTCGTTTTCAACTAAACAGGACCAGGTTCCACACCTGGTAAGTCATGATTTACCTGATGTAAAGTCAGGTTGATTAACATACAACTTTAACACAGAATGTATAAAATATACTACAATACATGTCTGGAAAACATAAATTCCCACAAACCTGATAGTAGGATTGTATTACATAATTATTCGTACCGTTTTATTACAGCGGGGAAAAAAAAGTATTTTCCACAAAAACTTTTCCGTCCTCTTTATACCACTGATTAATTACCCATTGATGATAATATAATTTTAATTTAAGTGTTTGAGTGTTAATGAAATAATAAACTGTCTTTTCCTGCGATGAATTTCTGTCTCTCTGTAGATCTTTCTAGATCTTTCTGCTCTGTAGCCATTGGTTGTTGTAGTGATTATTAAAGCAGATGAATAAAACATGGATGGAGGCCCAGCTGAGACCGACGCGTGTGTGTTTTTACACATTAATTCCTCCGAACGACAAAGAAAACAAAGATCAGTTCCAACCTGAGGATGAATTATTTATACAGCGATGTCGGTGAAGAGCTCTCGTCTCGGCGTCATCTACCTGAAGAGCGGCGCCGTTGGTGCATTAGGCCCCACTTCACAGACTCGTATTAGCTTCTCTTTTATTTTTCTTCAATTACGGCCCGGTCTTTGAATCGACGTCCGAGTTGAACAGACTGTTCCGGTGGAACGTCGTTGTGCCGAGAGTCGACCCTGGAACGACACGGAGCAGAGACGGAGACGTCAGAGGATTCAATACATTATACTGCAGTGTGCAAAGAGAGACGCAGAAATAAATGTCAAAAGAATGTAGACAATTTATATATATATATATATGCTTTTATACGACAAATAAAATATCAAAATTTTGATTTTCTTGCATATGATTTTATTATTGGACAATTTTGTGTTATGTATGGGGAACTAGATGAGATTCCAGTTTGGCGCCCCCTATCATCCAAATACTTTTTTCTGAATTGCTCCAGCATTGCCCCCCAGCCTCACCCACCTCCCCAGTCAACAGCCCATGTGGCTTTGCCAAGAGCTAACTCTGCCAGTGGTTCTCAAAATATGGTGCGCATAACACTAGTGCACCTGGGTTCCCTCTAGTGGACTGTGGTGGAATTTGATTGTTATATTAAGGTGAGTTAATTAGTGTTGTCTGTGTTTCTGGTGTAGTAAGAAAACAAAACTGACTTCGTGGGGACGTTTCTCGGGTCCAAACGGAGAGAAAAATAATTTTTTGAGGTTCAGGATTTCATGGTGAGACAAGTATCAACAAGTTGGAGAGAATATTTACTGTAGGTTGTGGCTACGTGGATGGAGGATGTACCAGTATCTTCCAGTGTGGCTCTGTCACTGACTGAAATGATACTTGGTCGCCCAATTTTTTTTAAATTTTTTAAATTTTTTCTTTTTTTCTTCGTCTCTGTTCGTCATCTACTTGTTTTGTGCGAGAGAAAGAAACATCCTGAAGCGAAGACGACGCGTAACGGGGAGATGAAAACGGAGCCTATTTTTAAAATGTCAGTACAAATACCCAGAGTACATGAGTCACTATAAAACAAATATAAATAAATCCTTCCTCGGCAGAGCTTTCATCTTTGCACAGCCACAGCAAACATTTTAATATTGATTAATGGTTATCACCGTGTACTTTGAACTTCCGACAGGTTACAGTCGGTACGACTGTCGCAGGAACAGCGTTTTCATGTCGCTGCTGCAGGAACGCCACAATAAAAGCTATTATTAGGAATTAATTCAACTTCAAAGGACTGAGTCAATGAACTGAGATGTTGGAAGGTTAAACGTTCGGGAAAATGAGACCCGTGTTTTACATTGACATTTTTGACATTTCTTTAATTCTTCTCCATAACAGGGATTGAAGGAATATGGGGGGAAATATATGTAAATATATAAATATAGACACACAACACACTATGGATAAGACAGTGAGTGATATATATGCACACGTGGACCTACACATATATATACTGTACATAAATACAAATATACATATGTGTGTGCGACTGTGGTTTTCACTTTTTCCCCGCTACTACATTCCAAAGTTTTCACCTCTAAAATATATATATGTGTATATATATATTACCCTATATTATTAGTACATATATTATCCTGTACTTCTTCTGATACCAGTTCAAAACTGTCTAATTAATGGTGTTAATAGAACAATACTGTTTTTTTGTTTTTTAATTTAGGAGAACCTCCGCTGGAGGGCGCCAGAGCTCTTCAGGAAGGTGTAAAAGATGGAAAAAAATGCATAGTGAATGCAGGACAAGACATGAACTGAACCAGTTGACATGAGAATAAATGGATGGATTTGATCCAAGGAGAACAAATACTACTGCAGTACAACAGAGGTGGTACGACACTGAGTACTTGAAGTTTGGATTTCCATGGACGGATGTTGGAAATCGAAATGTTTTGTGTTTTTTTTTTTTGTGAATGATGTCATTTGAAGAGGGAAGTGGGAATTTTTTGTTACATATTTTTTTCAACTTAAAAACTTCATAATAACCCAAGTTAATTCACGTGTTTTTTGTTCATTTTTTTCCCAGTTTAATCTCCACTCGTCTCCACTCGTCGTACTGTCTGACAGCAGCGCTCCCTGACGTCTAATAACCCACAGTCCTTAAACAGCTCTCTCCACTGATTGGCCCTGGAACCAACGCTGATGCTAAAGATAAATAAATAGTCTGTCCATCTGTCTCTGTCTCCGTCTCTTTACATCACTACTTCTTCTTTTATGCTCTGCTCCGACGTGAGCTCTACCTTTTCTACTCCGTAGTCAACACACAGACGAGTCCGACTGATGAAAAGACATTTTTACGTAATGTAACTATATAATTATGTCATTATGTTTCACACAAAGAATTCATTTTATCATCATCACCGTCTGTGAGTTCAGATCAGTGTACTGCAGTAGTATGACTGATATTATTAAACTCTTCTCTCTTCAGCTCATAAAACCAACTCATTTGAATGGAACTGAAAAACTATATATATGAGATTTGATTTGTCTATTTATATATGCAGCCGCAATAAAAACCAGTGGGAAAATGAAAACGCATAAATTTGAATAAACTTTGTTTCAATGTACTGTATGTGTATATATATATGTACATATAAATATATGTAAAAATATATATACATATACAGATGTGTGTGTATATATATGCACATGTATATATTCAGACATATACATATGTATTTGTATGTATGTTAACACAAACTGATATATATTTATTTATAGTCAGAGTAGATGTAGTACTTCATAGACTATAGAGTACAATGAAGTACAACGACTGGTACTTCAGTTCAATTCAGAAACGACACACACTAATGAGAAGATACAACAGCTGTAATTAGCATCATAGTGACGCCACTAATAAAAAAATGGGAATCAGATTCCTCAGTGGCCCACTAGAACGCCACTAATCCAAATGGAATCAGATTCCTCAGTGGCCCACTAGAGGGTGCCCAAGTAACAACTGCGACACCCATATCAGTTTCAGAACCACCGAACATTTTTCATTTTCAAATTAAAACATTTAAATTACACATTTTTATCTTGAAAACTACAGTACTGCATCAATAGTACTCTGTTCATGCAGTAATACTTTATATGACAAGTTGTTAACAAACCGATTAAATGTTGTGAACGAATACGTATCATCAATATTTCAATAAACACCGAGCATGTAATTCAACTTCTTTTCCCACCAGAGGGCGCTAAAACACAGTCACTGTGTCCAGGGTTTGACTTTGATGAAAGTATTTGTTTTATATGAGACGGAGAAAAGAATAAACAGCGAAGTTGTACAGTTGTTTTTACTAACAATAACCGCTTGGTGGCGCTACAGGTAAATGTAATTTATTCATGTTTTTCAGCATGAACGTGAACGGAGCTCACGAGCCCAGGTCTGGACACGGAGAAACTGAACCAGATTTCACACTTTACGGAACAGAAATCCGGTTTTATGACTTAATGATTCCGAGACGTGACATCATTTATGGCGTGAACGCATTTAATAACAGCTGGAACGTACGACCAGGGGTGAGGAGTGAGGGGTGAGGGGGGGAGAGGGGGAGGTGATAATAACTGTGACCGAGTTAAACAAACCACTGGGATTATGGGTAAGACTGCAGTGGCCTTGGACTTGGCAGCAGATGGTCAGACTCCCAGAGTCCGTCACCGTCAGACGTGGTGAGCTCCACAGCCTCACAGTCCTCACCCCCCCAGACTCGAACCTCCGACTGGGACTCGGGAAGTTTCTCTCTCTCCGTCAGGAAATGTAAGTTTTACTTTTTTGTACTAAACGGTCTCAGTGAAGTGTGTTTCTGTGGAGGGATTTACCGTGGTTTAGATTTATATGTTGAAAAGTACGATAAAGTACCTGAAGGGAGTATTTTATTGGCGGTACTTTATCAAAGTAATAAAAGTGGGATTTTTACTTCCAGCGAATCGGCGTTTTCCCTGTAGAATATTTTTTTCTAAAGTTGCTTAAAAAAATATAAGAATAAGAATCAAACCTCAGAGTTGCCGTCGGGGGCTGCGGTCCTGTTGAAGCCCCTCTAAGTCAACCTGCAGACAGGGGGCGGTGTCTGGCTCCACAGTGAAGATCTGCTGTAAGGAACAAAGATTAGATTAGATTCTAACTCCGTTTTTGATGATCTGAGTGAAAACTCAAACTGACGACAGGAGATATTAACTTTAGGAGGAGGTTCTAAAACACAGGTTGTCATTTTCTTCTCTGTGTCTCTCAGTTTTATCTTTGTTCAAAAAAGTGTTTTCACATTTTAACCAAACTGTTGACATGACAAGTTCTGATCATCAGAACCATCTGATTCTTTTTATTACCCTGACAAATCTGAAAGAACATTTTAAGGAACTGGACTTCTGTCTTTAGACCAGACAGAGAAGCAGGTCGTGACCTGGTGTCAAAGGTCATCCATATGAAATGAAAATAAATATGATAATGACAATTTCATTTTTTTTTATTTTACAATAATAAGGGAAATAATAGTAAAGATAATGATAATGTTCATGAGAACTAATGGATCTGATCCTCACTTCATTGGTCTGAGCTGTAGATTAAAGTGTATAAAAGTACCCAGTATTCCATCTGTGAGTATTTGTACACAGTTGTACTCAGAACCAGGAGACATTTTTATGGTCTGTGTCCAGACCTGAACAATAGAACCAGAGAGGAAACTCAGAGGAGAACCTCGTTTCCTTCACCGTTTCCTCGACACGTGTTGACAAACTGTTAAAAACAGTGTCATTTAAACACAGTCGTTATCAAAGTTCATTAACGTCAGTCTGACGTCAGAATTAACAACAAATACAGACATTTAAAAAGGAAAACAAAAAAAAGAATTCAAAAGAAGAATTACTTTTTTCTGTCGTCGTTAACTCAGGTGCTCGACAGGAAACCGTCGGTCAGCGGTTCATCCTCCAGGATTTTCCTCTTCCCATGGACGCCCCCTGCTGGTTTCAGCAGCTTCCCTCCTACCGTGAACAAAGCAGAGCAGCCGCACAACAACTCCAGCCCTAACTTCTCTGGGCTGTCGCTCAGTTCAGACGTGGTCACGGCCGACCTGACTGTGGTGGAGACCTGCAGACTTCAGGTCAACAGTCAGTATGACGTCATCTCAGCCGTGATCTCCTCGCTCTGCTTCTCCTTCGGCCTCATCTACTGCTTCCTGGGTACGTGTTCTCCACAGGAACCTGACCTGAAAAACAGGACAATATACATAAATAAATATAGACGTATATGTATATATGAACATATATATGTACACATATGTCCATATACACATACTGTATATGGACACATATACACATATGTACACATATTTACATGTACATATATAAATGGGAATATATAGACATAAATACATCCACACACATACATATATAAACACATATATAAAAAAATATATAAATATATATGTATACATGCATATAAATCTATGTCCATCAAACAACTGTTTCTAACAGTGAGTTCCACAACCACGTCCTTCGTCCCTGTCACATTGAGCTGCAGTTGTTGTTGGCCCCACCATGTGACACTGTTGTTCACAGTTCACAGAGTTTGAGGTGAACTATGAGCTGGATTTAAAAAAAAAAAAAATCTGCTGAAACTCCTGACATCTCCACTGACTGTAGGGTTTTATCATCAGTTCTTATGGTGCAGCAGATCAACTGGACTGTATTTACAGTAATACATCTGTCAGTCAATATGTCCATAAACACACATCCAGGGAGACACGTGTATATGTGCTTCCTGCGAACCAAAAAAAACAAAAAACGTGACACTGACCAAACAAACGTTCGACCAAAGTCTGGATTCCCAGAAACTGTCAGAGCGAAAACCGTTGAGACGACAAGTTATTTAGTAACTAAATTTAAAATGACAACAGGTCCATCTGTACACATACAGTGTTACAAATACATATAGACATATATATACAGAGCATACATAATATACATATGTACACAATACCACTGTGTCTATATTCAAGCAAGGGTCTAGGATTGAGTAAAGTCTAGATTAGAGTTAGGTTAAGAAGGCATATGAAGTTAGGGTAGTGGTTCACAAAGTAGGGGGCGGGCCCCCTCTAAGGGACAGAGTGAGGCAATTTCAGTATTTTTTTTCCTTTGTCCCAGAGTTGGAAATAAAACTGATTTGTGTTCAGTGAGGAAACATTTATTTAAAATGACGTTCACTGGAGATCTGAAGCAGAAGCTGTGAGGTTGTCAACCTGGGGGGCGGGGGTTCTTGACAACAGCGAGGGCGATAGAGCGAGGTAGGAACAAACCATACTTTTTCATCCAACATCCTGATCATGAATTATTTTTGCAGGTTATCGCTGCTTCCGGATGGTCATGTTTCTTTCCGGCTTCATGTTCGGCACAGTTGCCATACTACTGTTGTACCACAAGGAACCGCTGTTGGTGGTCCACCTGGGAGTGGAGGCCAAGGCAGGGATTGGTCTGGGGGTGGGTGTCCTCTGTGGACTCATGACGGTGACGTTGTCAACACTGGGACTCTTCCTGAGTGGACTACAGCTGGGGAGTCTACTCTGCCTGCTCCCCCTGGTGGTGGTCAGACAGTACCACAGCCTCACTCCTGTGTGGCTGCTCCTCAGCAGCATACTGACTGTCAGCATCATCACTGCCGTCGTCAGCCTGAGGTGGCAGAAACTCTTCAGCATCGTCTACACCTCTGTGGTTGGATCCACCACCCTGATGCTGTGCACGGACCACCTGGTGGGGGCGTTCAAGCTGCCTACGCAGGTCTACCAAATGTTTGGTCAGGTGGTTCCTGGTCCGCTGTGCTGGTTCAACTGGGTGATTATTGGCATCTGTCCTGGTTTAAGTCTTTTAGGTGTTTTAGTGCAGTGGAAAATTACGGCTAAAGGAGTTTCGCACAGAGGAGGTGAGACAGAGTCAAATACTTCATATAAAAAAAAAACTAAAATTTATACACATCATGATAACATTGTTTTCTCTCCCCCGGGTGTGTTGTAGTCACACATACCAAACAGAAGATGGCAGCCAAAACGCCTCCGCACAGAAATTCGAGGAGAAGAAAAGCCAAGAGAAAACCTCCGCTACTCAAACGCTACGCTGGTGACGTCCTAGCGCCGGTCAGTACGTTAGCCTCTCTGTATGAAATAAAGACAACATTAAAGTTGACTTACAATAGTCCACCTGCAATAGCACCGTGTCCCCTTAGGGGGCCCACCCCGTACTTTGGGAACCAGAAGTTTATACAACCACTCTATAGCACAGAGTACTTTCACATCACTGTTCATCACAGACAGTTTTATATTATTTTTCACACCAGCTGAAGTGACAGACCATAATAATAATAACCCCCCCCCCCCCCCCCTCAGAGTTACCTCCAGAGTCTACAGGAGCGGCAGACGAGGACAGGCTCGTCCACGTGCAGCGTCAGCACCGTCACACACACTCTGATCGACTTTGACTACGAGACCGGCTCCATGGTGCCTCTGACCAGGACGCCCTCTGGCCCCGCCCCCACGTTTACACTCTAAACAACCCAACTTTACTCACACCTTGAACGACTGTTTGACTTCAACAACAGGAACGTGCCCACGGCTGTGAGGTCACCACTCCATCCCATAATCACACACACACACACCTGCTGTGATCTGACAGGAAGTGATGACATCACTGCTTCATGGAGCACCAGCTGTAATCAGACTCATCTCCTCATCAAATCTACTGAGTGTCTCACCTCACAGACATGTTGTCCTACAGTAACAGCTGTTCTGCAGTTAGAACTGTTTTCAGATCAGTTTGGTGATGTCAGAGTTAAAGTATATGTTAACACAGCTACAGATAAATATGTAAATCACACTGGGAATGTTGGACAATTAACAATATAAAACAGTGTTTTTAAGAAATTTGCTACAGTGTAAGATCATATTTATTAGGTGAAAGTCACTATTTTAATTTCTGTAAACATGAGCTGTAAAATGCTGTCAAATGTAAAATATCTCTCTATATCTAAAATTACCATACTGCCATTACCACAGAATTGATCACATTTGTAAATAAATGTATGCACAAAACTTTCCAGGCGCAATGAACTAAGAGAACATTTTCCAAGATATTTTAGATTTTTTTTTTTTTAAATTCTAATTCTTAAAGTTTTCCATGATGAGTAAATTGGTCATTAATTGTCCAGGTTTTCCAGGCAGTGTAGGAACTCTCAATTAAAAAAAACAAAAACAAAAAAAAAACAACACCGACCTTTAACATTCGCTCTGTTCTGTTACCTGAAGTAAGAACACATGGACGTCTCACCAGAGAAAACCTGCTGCAGGAGAACACAGGTAAATTCAGAAGTGATGAGAACTTTTTTTAGTGACACCAAGAAAAAAAACTAAACACCAAGAACACCGTTAAAACACTGAGGTTTATCTTCAGCTCATGTCCTTCACCGTGGAGAACAGAAATAAGAACAAACAAACAAAAAAAACCACACCCGTGAAAGAACCCAAAGACTGGAGTTGATACTCACACAGCAGCAGATGAAAATACAAAGTTTTCAAATATTTTTCACCTGTCAAGAACTGGAGAGAGAAGTATTGATCAGGAAACACTCAGAACTACAGGGTTAGAACTTTGGAGAGAAAAAAAAGATGAAACTCCCAACACTGAAGAACATAACTATGTTATTGAACGTTGCCGTTTTAATTAATTTATTTCGATGTAGCCTAGATTTTTTTTAATTAGAGATTTGGTCCCATATAAAGCAGAGAAGTGATTTAAATAATTTTCAAAACATTCATTTACATTTAAATCTGTGGATTTGATCTAAATGTAGGTCACAAAAAATTATGAATTCTGTTAAGCTGTCTGAGATAATTAGCAGCAGCGCGACATTTTCAGTCTTAGGTGTTACTGCATATATGTTATAAAATAAAATACATTAAACTCCCACAGAATAATAATAGCATTAAACAGTCAAAATATGTAATAAATTATAAAAAAAAAGTAAAAACAAATTGAACACAAGTTTAAATAAAAAAGAAACCCATTCTTTGTGTATTAATTTTAATTGAAACCCATTCCTGATTTGTTTAAATTAACTCTAACATCACTGTGATGTTCGTAGTAACAAAAAAACGATTATATCGGTTTATCGACATGTATTAGTTACATAATTACAGAGGAACAACGTAAATTCATCTGTCAGGTTCAGAAAATAAATATTCTCACTGCTTTTGTGTCGAATCACTGTACAATCCGAGGGTTGCGTTGAAACTTTGGCGCCCTCTAGCGGCTCAGTCGTCGCAGCGCATCCACATTTTAGCGACGCTCTGGGGGTAGCCCTTCTCTACAGTGAGGTGATGCTGGTTCACGCGCCAGTACTTGCTGCCCTTGAACATGTATATGTGACCGTTCGTCCACGTAAAGGCGGCGTCGGTGTTGCTGGGCGCCCCCGGGAGGAGATTTCCAATTGGCTTGGGATACGACCTGAAGTCGGTGGGGCCGAGTTCATCCCACTGCCAGTATCCTGAACCCTACAACGGACAGATTATCACATGGGATTATGGAGTGATAACTTCAAATCTAAGGCAGTAAACGCTCTCTGTGGGTTTTGTTTTACTTTGAAAAATATTATTTTTTTGTTCTTCCTCAAGTACAAGGCAGAGTCCACGTTGGCAGGGACGTTGACCAGTTGTTTGGGGAAGCCGTGGTCCAGTCTAAAGCCCGTGTATCTCCAGAATTTGTCCGCTGTGGAGGCACAGAGAGAAGAATGTTGTGTGAAAACCGCAGCAAAGATAATTCATGAGCTTAATAAAATATTCACATCCCCGCCCACGGAGTACTCAGTACACGGCTCCTCCGTGGCTGTGGCTTGGACGTTAGAAAAGTATGACATGAATCCACCTTTCAGAAAGTAGGTCTTGCCAGTTCTCTGGGAGTGGACAGCTGCACTCAGGCCGCCGGGAAGCTCCTTCCACAGAGAAGACATCGGAACAGGAGAGCTGTGGCCGGAGCTGGACACGGTCCACACATACTGACCACTGAAGACGTACGTCCTCTGACCAGGCCCTGAAAACGGACAATTAAAAAATAAAATAAACATGAGTCCATTATTTACCTCTAGATTAGAGGAGATTAAAGATTGATTAGCGATATTAGGAGTGAAGCTACGCCTCAAACATTACTGCTCAAATATTTGTTTTTTTACCCAACATAACTGCATCCACTGTGGCCTTGCAGGGATTCACAGCAGGCGCTGGTTTTCTCGGTGGTGGCAATTTATATGGCTTTCCTGAAACACAAAAAAAAACAAAACACAGAATGTATATATTTCCCAGTCTCAAATATTGTTACACTCACGTGACGTGGTGTTACCGTATAAGGCCTGGATTCCACGTATGTCGTCTGGGTGTAACTTGAAGTCTGAGCGGTAGCCGGTGTACACGGGTGCCATCAGTGCACTGTAGTACTGCGAGTGGCCCAGGCCCAGAGCGTGACCGATCTCGTGAGCGGCCACGATCCTCAGGTTGGAGCCCTGGCTCTTCCCCTCCGTCCACAGTTCATCTTCGTCAAAATGGACAATGCCTGATTCAGGGGCATCGGCGTGGGCCAGGACATGGCCTGGAGGTGAAGTATACAAGAAAATACATGAGTATTTTACAAAACATGTACATACGACAAACATATGACATCCCCAAATAAACTGGTTCAATTTTTAAAAATACAACAGACAGAAAATGTATGGATTTGGTGAATTAAAGCTAAAAGAAAAACATGTTTACAGTAAACTGAGACAATTAAAAAAAAAGCACAGGACAAACCATCCCAAGCCACCATCCCATAATAAAGAGAACAAGTATTTGAATCCTGGGAAAACTTAGTACTAAGTACTGTTTTTTTTGGAGTAAAGACACAGAAACAGGTTGAGAAAAAGGGTTTTTATTGTGAGATAATGTTCATAAACACCACATCCAACAAATCAATTAAAAACACCAAACAGATTGAGAAAAAATTTTATTTCTGAAAAATATTTTTTATCAGAGAATTCTTTCTCTGTAGAATTCTGGAGGATGACCTTTAACCCCAGACTCACGACCTTTACCACCACTCAGACCAACATTAAAATCCAGCAGAACACCGACCAAGGACAACGGAGTAAAACTACAACTGGAACACGTGCCATTCAACACCCCACGCACTCACCCTAACGGGATAAAAATTCTCCCGTTTACCACTAGAGGGAGCCCAAATACTATAAACCTAGTTTAATAACAACTGCCGTTCTTCAACCTCAAGTTTTTAAAGCATGTAAATAATTCTGTTTCAAAACCTTTAAGACCGATCCACCAATGACAATCACGAAATAAACACACCACAGAGTGGCGTATTACAGCCAAATAAAGACAGCATCATAAACGTGATAAACGATACTTACTCAATGTCTCCGTTACCGTTTTAATGTTGCCGTTTGTGCCAAGACATCAATCTTTAAACTGAAGACTCGAGTTGTTTTGTTTTCTTGTGACTCGAGGCATAAACACGATGGAAATTGTTTGTCTGTTCCTTCATGGCGTTCGGCTTCCCGCCTCTTGGTCACGTGACTGCGGCCTGCTCTCCTCGGATTTAGGTTTCCCAGAACCGCCTGTTGATTAATTAACGTGTGGAAACCTGAGGACGAACCCTTCGGTGTCGCGTCGGATATAATTTTATTAAATGTCCTTTTGAGAAAAAACGAAACAAAACACGCCCTTAATCTCCAGAAACCAATTTGTCATTCAACCGCATTGACGTGCTGCTAACTACCCAACTAACACGGTGGTTTTTTGCGTTCTGCGTCACCCGGGGTTTACGTCACCACTTGTGGCTTGTTGATTGGCCGTTTAAAGGGACACGTGAGAGGATGCGTAAAACTGAGCTTTATTGAACACTTACGTCATATTTGTCATTTTAATTATTATTTATTTATTTTTACGTATAAATTATTGTATAAATGTATCCGTTTGTATTTTTAATATACAATCTTAATAAAGTTTTTTTGAATTTTTTAAGTAAATTGAATACGTCATATTCAAACGTCTACGGTACTTCACTATTAGCCTAGTGTTTAGCATGTGCTAACAGAACGGTTCTTACCTTTGCCATCGAATGGAACGGGACAGGTTTTATCTTTTCTGTGAAAGGACAGTTTGATGTCGGCTCTTCCCTGCTGCAGCTCCCTGAACCTCAGTGGCGACACGTCGCTCCAGTACTTGAATGCGCTCTGGATGGCCACACGGGTCTTCCCCTGGCCCAGGTCAGGGGTGTAGTTATAGATGCGGTACGTCAGCAACTTCTTACGCCAGTAACCTGTTCGATTAAAGGCACGTTAACTCAGTACGTAAACACACCATACCTCTTCAGGTACGTTAGTTCTCACCACCAGTAGGAATACGAAGCTACTTCACCCATGACTTTGTATCTGAGCGATCTCTCACTGAACGAGTCCTGTAGACCACACCGAGGTCTGTCCATCATCGACAGCGTGGCCGAATCCAGGGTTCCGGACATCCGTAGGTTCGTCGCCCTCTGAAAGTGTCTGACCATCAAAATTTAAATTTGTTTATTTGTTTATTAAATAAAACGACAGTAACAGACGTGTTTACAGATTCGTCACCTCGCTGCTTCAGCGATCGCCTCAGCAGAATAGTTCTGGCCGTTACTGTCCAGCGGGATGTGCAGATAACCGTATTTCTTCAAATATTCCTGCAGACATGGTTTTCATTATAAAAGGAGTTAAAGATAATTCCACATATTTAAAAAACATTGTTTCCCCTAAAGCAGTGTTCATCAACTTTTTTTCTGCCACACCCTCTCACCCCCTCCCACCCCAGTTTTTTTTTACCATTGAATTAGAACGGGTCTTAATACCATGTTGGACATGTCCTCATGGACACAGGACAATAACAATCAGATTTCAGTGTCCACAAACTTTTGACAACTTTTGTGTAACAATAATATGCAAAAAAACAACTAACATTTATGTTATTGCTAGTTTTCAAACAATAAAAAAGTAAATAAATATTAAAAGTTGTCAATCTGGACATGTTGACCAACGTTAGTCCAACATAGTTAAAGACAGTACAGTAATCACATAATGGTCTTTTTTTTGTTTTTCTGCTAAATATGACGTATCTTATACTTTTAATCTAGTGTTAGATGTTTTTGTTAAACTAAAATCCTGAGTTAAAACAATATTTTCCTCCAGTTCATTTTCATTTCACGGATGTCTTTTCTCACCACTGCTCCAGGATCTTCCTCTCCTCCTGCAGCAACAGAGAAAATGAGCTTCATCAAAACAACAAGAAGCAGCGGCAGCAGCAGCTCCTCCAGGTTCCCCATCTTTGGCTTCAGTCACCTTTACCTGTGAGATAAAGAATCTAAATATATTTATAAAAAATAAAATCTTCAGTTTGTTAGTTTCAAATGTCAAAGACTCTAGTCGTCAGTTGTGCAGAGCAGACTGTCCATGTTCTCCCCTGTGGTGTCAACGCTGAGGGTTTTTATAGGTGGAGTGTGTGCTGGAGGCCTGTTTCAAAACGAGGACAAAATAAAATCTACATATTTCACATGTAGCTGACATCACGATCACGCCCCCTCCTCCATCAACACCATCATTTACAGACGTTTGTCTCGGCGTGTTTATTCAGGGACACTGCAGCTTCCCCCGCGACCCCTGACCGGAAACAGTGGTGGAGGACGAACGAACGAAGAACTTCAACAACGTGCTCAAAGAAACCGTTAAACCCGGCGACCACCCACGGTCGACCGAGGTGTCGTACCGATGCCACCGTGGCGTGTATTCCACTAGGATGTGTAGTTTTACTACTATGTATTCCCGACGTGGGGCAGATACAGCAGGAACACTGCCCCTGTTGCCCAAGTGTGATACATTTTTTATTTTTATTTTTTTTGGACAGGGACATAAATCTGGACATTCTTCACTTCATCGACGCAGCTCGTTGAACAAAACAACTAACCACACTTCCTTTGTCGCACAAGCGTTAATTACACGGCAGAAGTCCATTCACCAAGAAACAATGACGCCTCCGTTTAACCATCGCTTCATATTGTTGTCTGAATGTAAACGCATAGTTTCCTGTTTCACCACTGGACAATATCGTACATGTCATAAAACGTGAGGTCGAAGACACTCAGCTCATACATATATATACACACACACATGTATAAATACAATATCATCATTTAATAGTCATTTACATACATATATGTACTTATGCATATAGGCTTATGTATAGATATATATATTTATTAGGGATGTCTGATATTAACTTCGCCGATATCCGATTTGCCGATGCTGTCCAAATATCAATATTTATCCAATTCTTCAGCCCCCAGGCCTGATGTTTTGAACCCTCCTGCAGGTTGTAGTTTATTCTAGTGTTTATATTAGTCACTCGTTGTGTAGCTGCTGGTTAAAAACCTCTATATATTTAGTCATTTTTTAATTTTTTTTTATCGCGACAAAGGGACATAAAATGTCACAAGTCATTTGTCTAAGTTTTTTTTTTTTTTACGACAGCGGAGAAATGTGCAGAGAAAGAAGACGAAGGCTACGTCAGTATTGCAAACTGTTTATTGGTAGTAAATGAAAAGTGTGCCATTCAGTGAGAGGGAGATAAAGCGGGGGTTGGGGGAGGGGGCTGATGGTGAAGGCTGACGTCTTTGGTCCATACTCTGTTGGAGGGGCGTCAATGAAGAGGGGAGCGGGCGGCGAGAGAAGGCACTTGAGTTTACAGTCTCAGAAAGTTGTCTGGAGAAGGGCACGGCCTACTGGAAGAATGGGTGAACTACACATTCGGATTTCTCATGGATATCGCATAGAAAACGCTCCATGGTGAGCAGGAAAATATAAAGCTACATATATGTATACACAATAATGAATCAGAAAAAAAAAGACAGGAGAAAGAAAGAGAAATAAAAAAAAAAGAAGGCAAAGTGTCGGACGTTCACCTTTGGAAATGTTGACAAAAGAGAGAGAAAGAAGAAACAAGGCAGCAACTTTTTTTTTTTTTTTCAAAGAACTGGAGGAGATTATTTCTTTGGCGATACCTGAAAGTCCAGACAGTTCAGAATATGAAAACAACAGAAGAAGAAAAAAAGAGAGACGGATCAGAAGCTCAGAAGAAGAGAGATGAGAAGTGAACGTCTCAGTTCTGATTGGACAAGTTCAGTATCTCCTACAGCACGACGACTGGAGTCAAGGCTAAAACACACACGGATCATCAGTTCAGCAGCTATAATAAAGTCTAACCAACGTTCAATCACAGAGGCCAGCAGGGGGAGCTCAGGTGCTTCAATTTGAACGGTTTCAAAGAAAAGAAAAAACTGGGTTACAGCTCCAGAAATAAAGTATAGGATTTTTTAGATATTTAAGGAAATACCTCCCTTTTTCTTTCTCATCTAGAGTCCCACCCCACCCCCAGGTTACAGAAATAAAAACGGAACCTCTACCATGTGTTAATTAGCACTGAAAACCATTAGAAGGATTTTCAACAGGGCTGATGCAGCGATGCATTGATTAATTAACACTTACAATTATTTTATTGCACATGAATGCAGTTTTTCACCAAAGTGATGCAGTTTTTTTTTCCAGGCTCCCAAAAAAGAAAAAATAATCACGCACATATACATAAACATACATACAAACACCACACAAACATGTTTATATATGTATATATATTTATATATACACACATGTGTGTATATAAATATATTTCAACATATATACACATACATGTAAAATAATGACAATAATAATAACAATAATATGTTGACGTGTGATAATTGTCAGTGTTAATTATTTATGCATTTATGTAATAATAACATGTTAATCTGCCCCATGCTAATGTATATAAATATATAGGAATATATGTTGACAGACTACAGTTTTCCAGCCCTTTCAATTTTCCTAACCAAACAAACCATAGAACTTCCAGCTTCTAAAACCAGACTAGTTTCTTTCTTTCTTTCTTTCCTCTTGGGAGGTTTTAGAAACTTTAAAAAAACAAAAAAAAACAATAATACCTAATAAAGAACAACCGGCTGCAGCTGTACTTCTGTGACAGAACAAAAACCAGTCTCAGGTTTCTGTATTCATCACTTTACAAAAATCTATTTAAAAGTAAAAAGGGCGGACTGGAGGAACTGTGTGATCCCACCCACCAATCAAATCGTTTCTTTCGTTGTTTTTTTTTTTTTTTTAACACTGATGGACAGAGACCCTCAGCTCTGGAGAGAAAAAACACAAACACTCACACAAACTAACTGTGCGCTGGAAAGAAAGACGTCACCCTGGTGCAGTTTGTCCAGGAGTCACGTCTGCACTTTTTAGTCTCTACACAAAAAGGCAAAAGTCGTGGGTTTTAAACCAACGTCCTTAAAGTCAAACATCTGTCCGATCGCAGCAGGGATTCGCCAAAGAAATGACGCTCATTTTCTCCCCCTCTGTCACAAACGGTGTTTATGTATTTATTTAAACAAAATCCCAACTGGAATAAACAACCTATAACCAGAAAACCAAAGGAAGAAACCAAAAATACTAAGTTAATTTTCGTCACAAATATTTAAGTCTCCAGTTTAAGACGTGAAGATCGCCAACGATGCCACGCTCAGCTTCAGCGCAGCCTCTCACAAAAAAAAAAACAAGAGAAAGATCACCCGTGGTTGGAGTCCCTCAAAACAAAACGTAACTGTGTCCAATCAGATTTCAGACATCAGGTCAAAAGGTCAGCATTGAGGTATTCACCTGCTTTTTGTTCACAAACCCCCACCAAAAAAAAAAAAGAAAATGCCCCGCCCCATTCCGGCTCTGCACCGTCTGATTGGAAGCCATAGAAAAGGTCAGTTTGTCAAAGCCACAATTTTTAACAAGTTCCTCAGTTTGATCGACATTTCCTCCCACAGGGGGGAGAAGTGAGTTTGGTAAAGAGGGTTTTTTTTTTTTTGTTTGTTTTGTTTTTTTAGTAGACCCTGAATCCTATCACACAGATTTAGAAATCACTCGTCTTCTCCACTGGACTACAGACAACCAGAGGGAAATGATTCAAGTCTCTACGGGAGGACGGGGGAAACTCCTCATTCATGCACAAAAGTCATAAAAAGAGAGGGGAGGGGGCGGGGGAGGAGGAGCGCATCTGCGGAGGAAAATCCAGAAGAAGAAAGAACAAGAGCCAATGACGGAGCAGCATTTGGAGTTTCCTCCGTTTGGAATCTTTCACATTATCTACAGAGGCTGATAAACAATAAACAACGAGCTGAGAACAACGACAACAACACGGAGTGAACGCTCATCACTGCTGTCGGCTGCGTTTAGATGAAGAGTTGAACAATGTGGGAAATACTGCCCCCAGAGACGACTGTTGTCCTAGCAGACTCTGAAATATACATAGTTTTTTAAACTCAAAATATCATTCCAAGAACAGTGCAACATGAACCGCTTCTTTAACTCAGCTGATGGTAAAGTTAACTTTACTGTTTTTTTTTTATATTTGGAGCAGAAATGAATGAAAACGTTTGAAGGTATTTTCATTCATTACATTCGCACGAGGAACAAATCGCACTAGCGTTTTCTTTATGGAAAGAGTTCACGTCGCAGAGCACTTTACGATATTTGGGTTCATATTCTGCAGGTCTACGTGAGAGCAGCCGCTAGCTATAGCATCAAACCTGGGAGATGGCTAGCCAACTTTTCTGTGCGGCAACTCTCCAGACAGCGAGTGAGTTTAGTTTGAACAAAAATTGATTGAATTGATTTGCCTTCAGTTTTGTAGCAGCCGCACAGAAAGCTCTTTTTTTTTTTGTTTTTTGTTTTTTTTTTTGCACTTTGATATGTTTCTATTTTTAACGTCATCAAGATGAAAGGTATTCTGTAGTGTTGATCTGCACGTCAACTCTCCGGATGACAACCATCCTTGGTCGTGCTCATGCTACCGACTACACTTTTTACCCCCACAAGTGAAGGCATTGATTGAAATGGTTCTGGCAGAGAAGGACAAAGTGTTCGGGTCAGAATCAGAGAGCTGACAAGCCACAGCGCGAGAAATAAAAACAAAAAAAAAAACAAAAAAAAAACGGAGTGACAAACCTCCGAGCTCGACTTCAATAATTCACATGTTCTTGTTCTCAGTCTCTGGCAGACGACTTAACTGTGTGTAAAAAAACAAAAAAAAACAAAAACCAAAACAGAACAACAGAGGCCGACGGTAGCGCAGCGATGAAATCTCAAGAGGAGGCTAAAGATAGAAGCTGTTACCTAAACCTGGAGG